AGCCCGGTGCTGCTGCTGATCCCTAACGCTGCCGGGAAGGTGACGGGCGGGCTGCTGCAGCTGGGGCTGCGGGCGCTGGAGCGGGGCTTCATCCCGGTCATCTTCAACCGCCGGGGCCACAACGGCTGCCCCCTCACCACCCCCCGGCTCCAGTCCTTCGGGGATCCCGGGGACCTGCGGGAAGCTGTGACCTACCTGCGGTGCCGCCACCCCTGTGCCTCTCTGTTGGCTGTCAGCGAGGGCTCGGGCTCGGGGCTGCTGCTCGCCTACCTGGGCGAGAGCGGCTCCTCCAGCCGCCTGACCGCCGCCGCCTGCCTCTCCCCTGTCTTCCGTGGCCGGGACTGGTTTGAGGCCGGGATGCCCTGGCTTTACGAATGGCCGCTGCTTCTCCACCTCAAGCAGGGATTGAGCAGGTCAGTGCAGTCCCTGGGGCTTGGGGAGGTGGATGGGTACTCCGGGAACTCCTCGCTCGATCCTGGCTGTGTGCATGGGGTGGGTGCTGCTGCCTACACCAGGAGCCCCAGTGCAGGGGCAGAGGTGCTGAGGGCAGCAAAACTTGCTAGTTAATGAACACCAGCCTGGAGCCGGCTGCCATGAGGCCAGCTGGGCCATCACTTGTGTTCCCAGCCTGGCAGGGGCTGCAGCAGCATCTTGGGGTTCCTGAGCTGGGAGATCTGTCACCCCTGGGAGGAGTTGGTGAAGCCCCTGTGTGGTTTTGGACCCTGAGGGACGAGTGGGCCTGGCCCCTCTCTGTGCACTGCCCCTTGTCCCCAGCACCTGACCCTCCTGCTGGCCCTTGGAGGGGACTATGATGCCAGCCCATGGCTGGGCAGGGGGCTGTGACTGCTGCCATCCCTTCCCAAGGAGTCTGGGTTCCCTAGTGCCCAACACAGCCAGGCTTGAGCAGGCTGGGACAGGAGACAAACTGCCCTGGTCTGAGGCCTTGAGCACATGGGCACTTCCCCAGGTGCTGCTGAGAGCCTGTGGGGGCAAAGGGACCCTGTAGGTGGGCAGATGAGAGCCAAAATAATGTGGATAAACCCCAAAACATAGGGTCAAAGAGGTGACAGATGAAGCTGCAATAAATCCCAGATAGGTGCAGCAAGGTATGGTGCTATCTGCAGGGATGGGGTATTGGGGGGTGGGCAGCAGTCTCCCCCCTCCCTATCCCTAACCTGATTGCCACTGCAAATGCTGCTGTCAGGGTAATGAAACGGGAGTGCTGGCTGTCTCCTGTTGTCATGGCACCCAGGCTGCACTGTGGGGACCGTCCAGGTTCTCTGGCAGGGCTGGGATGGGCCTCCTAAGCCACTCTGGGGTTGGAGCAGTTGAGGCCACCCCAATTCGCAGAGCCAGGACCATCGAGCAGCCCATGGGCACACAAGCTGATGGCACCCCCATGGCAGCATCCCTGTAACCCCCAGCTCCAAGTGGCATCCCTATGACCTTCCATTCCCACGGCAGCATGCCCCAGCCCCTGCGACATTCCCATCCCAGGCGGCATCCCCATGTCCTCCCCACCCACGGCAACATCCCTGAAATCCCCAGCAGTGTCCCCATTGCCCCCAGCCCATGGCAGCATCCCCCAGCCCCTGGTGGCATCCCTGAACCCCCAAGTCTACGGCATCCCCGCAGGTACACGGGGGCTCTGGCTGACGTGGTGGACACGGACAGGCTCCTGGGCAGCCGCTCGCTGCGGGAGCTGGAGGAAACCCTCTTCTGCCGGACTCGGAGCCGCCCCAGCAGCTGGGAGAGCTACTGGGAACGCAACGAGCCCCTGCGTGATGCGGACGAGGCGGCGGTGCCGGTGCTGTGCCTCTGCAGCGCCGATGACCCCGTGCGCGGCCCCCCGGCCCAGAGCCTGCCCAGGGAGCTGTTCCGCAGCAGCCCCTTCTTCTTCCTGCTGCTGACCCCGCACGGGGGGCACTGCAGCTTCCCCCGCCGCGGGCCGGGACGCTGCTGGGCCCACGAGGCTGTGCTGGAATATTTCAGGGCCATGGCCGAGTTCCTGCGGACGGAGGAGAGGAGGAAGGGGCTGCCGCGGCCCCGCAGGTGGGGGGGTCCCCCGGTGGAGCCCCCCGTGTTCACCTGGCAAAGGTCCTACACACGATAGCCCCCCTGGGGCAGGGTCTCACAAAGGCAGGCACACACACCGTGTACTAAAATTACTTTATTACAGTTGATTTTTTTTTTTTAACATTTCCTTTGCTATGATACAAAGGATACTTACAAACAAAATATTACATATGACCTTATTTTTTTTTTTTCTCTTCTCTTATTTTCTGACAACTTGGTAACAGCTTTAAATGCACAATCTATACAATTAATACAGGTTATATATGAGCTATAATGTATGTTGAACCAGAAGAATACCAGAATACTGACAATATACTGTACATTAAGCCTTACCAGTTAGTGCTCGTGGCATTTTCTACAAGAAGGAAAACGCACACCTGTAGATTCACTCATACCAGCTGGTGCTACCAGAGACGGAAGCAAGAAGGAGTTTAATTCCCCTGGTTAAATCCTTCGTGGCCCATCACCGTGGTGCTGAGCCTGGAAACTTCAGACCAGTGTTCATAGTAAAACAGCAGATATGTGTGTGGTTTTTTGTATCTAATGCTCTGTGGCACAGCACGGCTCCAGCAAGGCTTGCCCCAGAGCAAACTGCCGTGGCGCTGGGGCCGGGTGCTGGGAGAGCTCTTGCTGGGAAGCTGGACCTCCTTGGAGAGGGGGAGAGGAGGAAGAGGAGGAGGAGAGGAAAAGCAACAACAGCTTTGCTGTCATCAGCAGGCAGCTCCTGGGTTTGTGCACATGAATAGGTGGTTGCCGAGGGGGAAGAGCAAGCCCAAGGCATGGCACTCCAGGCACAGCTCCGAGCCTGGCTGCACACAGAGCTCATGCCCAGAAAACCCTCCATGGGGTAGGGCAGCAGCTGCCCTGTGGTCACCTCCTCACCAGAAAAAGTTTGCTTTTTGTTTTGCAGCCAAAGCCAGAGGTGTGTGGCTACAGGTGTGCACTTCCCCTCCTCCTGCCGGGGTCTACATCACACTGATAAGGTTACATTTTTGTTTCGTTTTGCTTTTTTTTTTTTTTTTTTTTTTTTTTTTCTTTTTTTTCCTTTTTAAAGCAACCAGCAAGTGAAGCATTTTTTTAGTTGACTGGCAAAAGACCTGGCATTTGCACAAAAGCTGCAAATGGAAAAGAGCCATCCCCTCCTCCCACCCACTGCATCCCAGCCCAGAAAAATCCCAAACTGTTGGCGGAAGAAAGAAAAAAAAAAAAAAAAGAAAAAAAACCCAAAAAACCACAACAGGGGTGGAGGAGAGGAAGAGGAGGGTGAACAGGTTGGAAAATACCAGGTTTGAGTTAACATTTCCTTGACTTCACACAATTCTTGTGCAAAAAGAAACACCCCCCCACCCCCAAACAAACAAAAAACCCAAACCCAGAAACATGCTGGAAATAATGAAAACAAATGGAAAGTAATATATAAAATTAAAAATATAAATAGGATGTCTGGCTGACTGGTAGAAGAATAGGTCATTTAGGTTACAAAAAGGAATATACATTCAAGAGGCTCTGAACCCAGTGGGGTAACTGATGTTAAACTTGTGTTAATAGTTAGGCTAGAATTCTCAAGTTTGTCTTTAAAATCTTCACAACACAAGCAAGCTATTTTTAAAAAATATACACTATACACACCTCACACAGCTTCTCCTATCCGTATTACACACGTTACGCTACCCTCCCATCCACTACACCGAGAGGGGGTCCCACAGCCGAGGGGCCTGGGGTGTCCCCCCATCCCGTCTTGACCCCCCGGCCCCGCAGTGGCGGTGGGGCAGCGATGGCTGCAGGGCCGGGCAGGTCACTTGGCCCCTCCACATCTTACCACAACTTTCTCAAGCATTTACAAGTCACCAAAGGGCTGTAGCCCTTTATGTTATACACACTTCACTTTGCAACGTTAATTATTTACATCAGGGCTGCCCCCCCATCTTTTAGCTGTTTCTAGGCAGGTAAAAAAAAAATGTTCCTGTTCCAAGCAAGCAGGGGGAAGAGCTGTGGGGGGTTAGGAGGGAAGAAAAGCTGAAGAAAGGAAGCGGGTGGTTTGCTTGCCAAAAGCCAAACCCGTATGCGCACATCTGCCTCTCCTTCTCTGATCCTTGAATCCTTACAAGCTCCCATTCCCTACAACCTCCAGGACAACCAGACCCAGAGAGCACGGCCTCACCGGTGCTCAAACTCCTCTGCTCGCAGCTTCCTGGGATGCTTAGCACAGCTATTGACTCACAGGCTTGCCTCTGCCACAGGACAAGGAGCACAGATTCTGACCATTCCTAGCAGCCCACCCCTCACTCAGCAGCAGGTCTTGCAGGGCAAGCCAGCTGCAGTGGGGCAGGGACCCCAGGACTCCCCACAAGCCACCACACTGCACCCCCAAGCTCGCCCTTGGCAGCTGCCACTAGCCACAGCTGGGCTCTGCCGGAGCCGTGCAGAGGCAGCGACTGCCGACTTCAGCTTGTCAATAACCCTGTGCTGATTTCTGCACTCTGCTGAGCTCAGAGTTGCCATAGAAATGTGTGATCCTGGCACTAAAAGCAGGCAACAATCTCAAATCAAACTCTTTTTTTTGTTTTGTTGGTTGTTTTTTTTTTTCCTCCAGTAGATTTAGATGAACTCGGATTTAAGACAAAAGCATTTGGAAGGGGAAAACCAGATCATTTCTAGAGAGATTGAAAAACATAGTCACAAGCCAGTATTAAACTGCAGCAAAGAACCTGAACTTGGTTCCCATCGAGTTCAGCTCCAGAGCAAGCCCGAAGCCACCACTGTGTCCCTCACACTGCCCTCCATGCGGCACATGACGCCCAGGGGAAGGAGATTCCACACAGCCATCAGGGAAAACCCAGACAGAGGCTGGAAGCCAAAAGCCTTGGGTGAGTGGCCGTTGGCCTCCTCAGCTTGCAATATTTAAGCATAAATTCCTTACAGCATCACTGGACAAGTCTCAGGGATTAGGTGCATGCTGAACTACGACTGGCAATTACAGTAGCTTTTTGCTAGCTGGCACATACTGTATCTATAAATTTTAGTACAAAAACTTAAAAAATACAGAAACTAGGTCAATTTGTTAACTACATATTTACAGATAATTACAATTCTTTTCACTGACAATAATTAAACTAATTGTCAGTGAAAATTCAAACTGTGCATGTTCTGAGGTACCCGTACTCAAGGGTGGGGAGCGGGGCAGGGGGCCGGAGGTGCGAGGTGGGGGAAGTTTCCCCCTAGGGTTTGTTCACATCCGTGGGGGCAACGCTCGGCCCTCCTGGTTCCTGGTCTCACTGTGTGCACTCAGAGAAAGCAAGGAGAGTGGGAACTGATACTGGGATCTTATTTTCCCTAGGACATGGCTTAAGGATGTTTTGAGGATGCCAGGCAGGTGCAGAGCCAATGGTCATGTACCAAACTGCCTTCTCCCCCCGCAGGGAGCCTTCAGGTGAAGTGCAAGTATTGAGACCCACAGCTCAGTGGTTAAGGTGCTTGTTTGCCAGCAAATCTGATTTACTAAGTCCCTCCCTAACTGACAAAGGGCTCTCCTTCCTCCAGAGAAGGGGGCAGAGATGCAGCAGGCAGCATCACAGCCCCAGTTGGCTGGACCTCATTGTGCAACAGGAACCTGCATTATCTGCTGCCACCGCTCCCTGGTGGGGTGATGTTTACTAAAACCACTGGATCTACCAGGTTTTATCTTCTGGCTGTACACAGCAAGCCCCAACCCTCCAAAGCGCCTCACATATATTCCTCGAAAGACTCTGGCTCAATCTATTCTTAAAAGTGCAAACTCAAACGACCACAGCAGAGGGACAGAGACCAGCATCCCTGTCTGGGCATCCACTGCTCCTCTGTCCTTGGCACGTGGCTCTGAGCTCACTGCAGGCTAGCACTGGGGTAGGAACATCCTACAGGCAGGAGCACAGCTAGAGACAACACTACTCCTTGGGAAAAGGTAAGAATGACCCAACCAAACCTAAGTCTCTTCTAAAAAACACTTGCAAGAGACCTTCCAGAAGGGACGGGGGGAATATTGCCTCCAAATTCTCTGGTAGCCCAAAGAGAGCCTAGGGTTGGCATTCTGCTGAGCTGGTGGGGCGTCCTCGGGGGAAATGCATGACCTGACACATGTGAGAACCGCTTATCCCCTGAACTGTCAAATGCCTCCGTAAGATGGGATCTGTAGAGGACAAAGGAGAAGGTCAGAAGGGTCTTCACAGCTTGAGGAGCTGGTGGTGTCCAGCATGGCACTTGCCCCTCTACTATGAGAAAGACCAGGGCAAGATTTACTAGAACTGCAGAGCAAGCACCCAGGAGAGGAATGAGGCTGTATGCTGCTGGCTGGACTCGAGTGACAAAGCACACAGGCCTAAGCAGAATAAAAAATGGACCAAGAGCATCTCTGTGTGTATATATGGATATATAGACCGTACACACACGTGTACTTTACATCTTCCAATTTAGCTTCTCTTCTGCCCCTCCACACAGCCTAAGGACCTCCAGGTATCAGACACACGCCAAGGCAGTCAGTGTTCACAGCTAGCAGCAGCTCCACCTCAGGAATCCCAAAAGCCAGTGCTGGTGCAGCGAGCCAAGACCATGCCAGGCTTGTGATCTTTCGTGGCGAGACGCAGCTGGGGACTCTGAGCTCAGCCTGCTGAGCACTTCACCGGCCCACTCGCCGCGTCCCCAGCAGATCCCTACATGGCCTCCACTGCTTTGCTATCGCTAAACCATCTGGTTTTCTTCTCTGCTGCCTTCTGACTTTCTGGTACCCTCAGGGAGCTCCCTCCTCTCCCTCACAGCACACCCGCAGCAGCAACCCACCCTCTCATGCCCCAGAAAAAGCAAGCTGCAATTAGCAGGGCTGCACTTCAGCGAGGGTTCAGCTCTAGCACAGCCTGTGCCACGTCCATGCCCTCACCCCGAGAGCCCTGCTGAGGGGTTGCTTTTGCTCACAAACAAGAGCGCTAAAGAACAGTAGAACTGAAGTGCCCTGACAGAAATGCACAGCATGAGGTGTGTGTGCACCTATACCCACACACACGTACATACAGAGTATATAAATATATACAAATGAGATACCATATATATATCCAGAGAGATGTGCGTATTGAACAGAGTAATGGTAGACAGTGGTACGATAGGATTTATTGCCTCTCAAGAAATGGCACGTAAGCAGGGTCAAGGGGCTGGGAAGCCTGGAGGTGAGGGGTCCTGGGGGTTTAAACAACAGCACAGCCCCAGGACCACCCCAGCTGCAACCCTGTGCAGGTCACAGCAAGTGTGCAGTGCCCGTTCTTCTGGTGCAGGAGGACTGGGTGGGACACAGAGCAATGCCAACCTGGCCCCAAGCCAGGCAAGTAATGGCTGCAGGGAATTTTTCTGTGGAAAGTTAGGTATCACACCATGTATTTAATTGTTCAACCTCTTTGAAGCTCACAGGCTTGGAGGGAATGCAGGTGAAACAGAGCTGTGGCCTCCATTTCAGTGCTGCATCCAAGGAAGAATGCATGTAACATTCAACATGGAAGGGAGAGGTGGCTGCTGGCTCCCTGGGACCATGGAAAACAAGGAAAATGTGGTCCCTTTCACTGATTTTAGGTAAAATCAAAGGAAATTTGAATCAGAAAGAGGTAAAAATGCTGGCTACTGTTTTTTCCATCTCTGGGCTAAGCTACACCAGAACTTCAGGTCTTTGCAGAGAGGAGAGAAAAATAACCACAGAAAAGAGATTTCAGGGGTCAAGCTGGTGATTTGAAAATACTGCAATAAAGTCTGCAAAGTAGTCCACACAGAAGAGTTCCCCAGTGTTAAATATGAACATAAGAGATGCAAGAGAACATCTTTGCTGAGGTACTGGAGTAGTTTCCACAATTTACAGATTACAGTAATTTTAAAACCAAAGTTAGGGCATGACTGCAATGAACGCAACATGGAGCAATTGGCCTCACTTTTTAAAACACTTTACCTCCAAAAATAAGAGTTTGCAAACTGATTCAGAGAGTGTTTGCATCTCTCTATTGCACAGTTGTTCATGTATCTCAGAAATAAACCTGAGATACATTAAAATTCTCAGCACCAAGGGCCTCCTCAAATACCACCAAGGCACAGCCTGACCCTGGGTTCCTCTGGCTACATCTG